GGCCGCGGCGGCCGCAGCCGCCGCAGCCGCCACGTCGGCGTGGTTGAAGTGCGCGGGGTACTCGCCCTGTAGCAGCGCCTCGAAGTGCAAGCGGCAGTAGACCAGGCTGTCCTTCATGCCGAAGTGGTCGCCCGTGGTCAGCATCTTGTTACACGTGGTGCACGTGAAGCAGTTGAGGTGATAAACCAAGTCCCGAGCGCGCATCACCATCTCCGAGGCCGAGATGCCCAGGTGGCAGCGGGCGCAGCGCTGCACAGAGAACCGCCTGTAGGGACCATGGAGGGAGGGGTGGTGGGGACACACGGTTGGTATACCCCCCATATTCCTCCTCCAGGCGCCGCTCCTGCCGCTGGGGGCAATCCCCTACTCAAGATAGACAACCTAGCCTTCGTTTGGAGGGTGGTGGGAGAGGGAGCACGATTTTGACCCAGGCCTGGTTCTATCCTGAAATATAGTTTCCCTGAAACACTTTCATGCCTTCAAAGGCTTCTACTTTACCCAGAATCTGAGCAAGCCCTAGAAAAACCTTTATTTGGGAGGGAGTATTGGGGGAGGACACTTCCCACTTACCCCTACCTCAATCTTTACCCCTCCTCCAAACCAGCACCTGGGAATCCCACAGACTTTTGTAATTTTAAAGGAACACAAAGACAAGGAAAGAGAGAGAGAGACACAGCGGGAGAGATAGAGACCCAGATAATATAAATAGACCCTAACCCTAAAGCTGGAGAGAAAGAAGAAACAGGGCCTTGGAGCCGGATAGGGATTCTGGTTCTTCAGAATCCTCCCTGGCCTGCTTTCACTCCCACCTCCCCAGAAGGTCCAGAGGTGCGTCCACTCCCCCAGTACTCCCCCCAGCTTTCTTCCACTCCAACCTAGCTGGTACCCTGGGATATCCTGGGTTTGAGGGTGCCTATTTCTACTCCCTCTGATTAACCCAGGGAACTTCCAAGAGAGAGGGGCGAAGGATCCCAACCGAAGTTTGTTTATGGGCTAAGTGGGGAGGGGAGGGCAGCTCTGCTTTTCTCCAGTCACCACACTTGGCAGCCCTTTCCAAGGGCTCCCCAAATTGCTGCTTTAAAAGGCTGTCACCCAATTCATGCTGGCTTGGAGAAGGAGAGTCCTGAGAAGTGAAACCTCTCCTGGGACCGGAGGGAAAGCAGAGGGCAAGGTTGCGCCTGAGATTGGGGGGCGGCCTGGGGTCAGCGGGTTGAGGGGGCTACCTGTAGTAGTCTTCCTTGCAGTAGATGCTGCCGTCCTTGCTGAAACAGGTGAGCTCTGACTCCAGGTTGAGTTTGCACTCACAGCACTTGAGGCAGCGCATGTGCCACTGCTTGTCCACCGCCAGCAGGTAGTAGCGGTCCGAGATCTTGCCCCCGCAGCCGGCGCACAGCGCGGCGCGGTCACTGCTGATGGACGGCATGGTCTGCGAAGGGAGGGAGGCGGAAGACGGCAGCGCCTGCGTCAACCTGAGGCCCCACTGCCGCCGAGAACCTGGCCCCGCAGCTCCCTCCGTGGCCCAGCGAGCCCCGAACGACGAGGGGGCTGCCAGGGCGTGCAGCACGCTTCCCCCCCGCAAAGGCCCACTTCCATTTCCGGGGGCCTCAGAACCCAGGCCCGCCTGCGCAGCCTGGCCGGCCACTGGCCCAGGCCGTGCTGCTGGCCTGGATGGTTCTCCCGCCTTACTCCTCCCCCTGCCTGTCCCCTCTGTCCTTTCCTCCAAAATGTTCGGTTGTGTTTAGGTACTGGGACAGCTATCCCAGTCAAGCCCTCCAAGAGCATTCTCCAAACTCTTTCTTAAAGAAGCCACTCAGCTGGGCCCTGGAAAAGGGGTATGGTGACCATTAAAAGTCACCCTCCATACAGACTCCTCTTCCGAGACACCGCAGAGTTCCTGGCCCCAGTTCCCTGTCTCTAGGCCGAGACAGGTCAGGCAACTTCTGGCTCCTCTGCCTCGCTGGCTGGAGCCCTCTTGGGGCCTGGGAGACGGTGAATGGGGTGTAGTGGCACCCTCAAAGCCTCTGGGTGCAGAGCAAGTCCGGCCCAAATCCTTCCCTAACCAAACCGACAAATCCGGAAGGTTTAACGAAGGGCTCGGAGGCCGGGAAGCTACTGGGATTGCAGCTCGTGCCCTCAGAGCAGAGAAGCTTCGCGTGTGCTCATCTCCTCGGCCTCTAAAGGTCACTTCTGGGCCCGCTGCTTGGGCAGCGTCTGCTCGTCTGGCCCCCGGGGAGGCCCGAGGCGCGGAACTGGCTATTTGGGGCTGGGCCCGCGGAGCCAGGTGTAGAGAACCGAATAGAGTCTCCTTCCGCGAGAGCCAGGCCGGAGCCTGAACTCCGAGCTCTGGCCTGGCCAAGTCGGGTCGGCCAAGAGGCTGCGGACGCGATCAACGAAAAGTGCTGGCCTGGAAGACTTTGGCCCCCGAAACCGCGCAGGAAGGGGATCCACGATTGCCGGGAGGCTGGGAGCGGCCCGAGCCGGCTGGAGCCCTAGTGCTCCCGGCTAGTTCGCCTTTCCCCGGCGCCACCAGCAGCCGGAGCCTAGCGGCGGAGGAGAGCGCAAGGCTGTCGACCCGAGCGCCCGGCGAGGTGGAAAGGGAGCCGCTCCGGGCCGCGGATGGGACTTCGCTTCCACTTTGTGAGAAACGCTCTCCTTCACCCCCGGGGTCTGAAATTTCGGCTTCAACCTTGTTTCCCTTCGCCCCAGCAGCAGGGTTTCCCCCGAGCCGAGAGCTACCAGCCTTGCATCCTGTCCGAGGATTCCTAGCGCCCAGTCCCGTGCGGCACGAAGGACGCTCCCCAAACTTCGGGGAGCGGAGGCGCTGACGGGCCCGGCCCTGCCCCAGCTCTCAATCCCGACCCCACAGCCGCACGCCTACCGTTTCCGTGTCGCCGCGGTCGATGGCGGAGCTGATGGCGGGAGCCTCGCTCTTTGCCCTGCGGTCCATCTCGTCGATGACCCCGTGCACCTCGGGGCCCGACAGACTGTGGAACAGCATCGCGGCGGGACCGGCGGGGCCGGGGGCGCGGCTCCTCCGAGGGAGGGCTTGCCCCCCGCCTCAGCTGCCTGGCGCTCCCGGCGCTAACGGGCCCGGTGCATCGCCAC